CGGGAGAAAGTAGGACAAACTCAGCAGCTTGGTGACAGCTGAATTGCAGCTGAACGGAGAGTCAGGAATCCAGAATTCTGATCCCAGCTCTGCTCCTGCCACACTGGGTGGCCCTGGGACTCTTCCTGCCTTGACATTCACTCAAGGTGCACAATAATCACCCATTGTTTGAAGCAATGGATGGGGAAATGGAAGGGACCCTGCTGCCCAGCAGTGATTTTTCTGCTCCCCCTCCTTCTCCCCTGCCCTTTCCTGATGCCCCATGCACCAGAGGAAATTCGGGGAGCCAGAGGCTGGAGTAGGACTCTTTTAAGACCACCCTGTGTCACCAGTCTGGAGAAGACCAGAGAATGACCACTAATCCTGACCCAGGACCATCTGCCAGGTTTTGCCTTTGGTGACAACTACGCTGTCTTCATCAACTGACAGACCTGAATCAGGATTGTCAGGGAGCCATCTCAGCATATCTTCAAAGCTTTCTGTCAGCACCTGGGAGTGGGGGCATGAGTTCAGAACTGGAGGTGAACTCAGACACTTGCACTGAGAAAAATGCATCTAAAGTCACACTGCTAACTCTTCACTTAACTGCAAGGCCAAGGAGCTCTAGCCAAGGTTTATAAATATGATCACAAAACACCAAAATTGAAAAGGGCTAGTTCACATTACCAGGGAGTCCCCAGCTTCCTCCTAATAGCAGTTCTACAAGTACACAAGGTGAAGTCATTTAACTCAGCCTTCAAAAGTTCCAGACGGTGACGTTTATAAAATACTAGCCCTAATGCCGAATGTGGAGTGTGAAAATCACCCTTTCTGGGACCCCACAAAATGGGGACAAGCTCTTTCTTTCTTCCATAGACTCAGAAAAGAGAATGAGCTACATCACCCATTTCCCCTCCCACTTTGGGATTCTAGGATACTACACTTCCCTGCACAGACCAGAAGAGGGCAGGCTGGTAGGCTATGGCCTGGTAAGTTTAAATACTTATCTGCAAGGATGCTTCTCAGTGTGGTTGTGAACATCCTGAAGAACCGGGAAATTCCCTTCTGTCTCCTCTGTCCCAGGAACTTGCTGCTCTCTGTAAATAGACCCTGGGCTGCTCAAGCCTGGCTTGATCCACAGTGACCCTTTCCCCTGGCTCTGTGGACCTCGAGTCATGATATTAGTAAGGTGATGGAAGTTTCAAGGGACCTTTAGCTAGCTCCTGGGTGAAGTTGACACCGTCTTAGAGTGTACAAAGGAAGGCATGGGCTTTGGGGCCAGAGAAACCTGGAGGAAACTGTGGCTCTCTAACCCCCACGTACTTAATGTGTGACTCAAAGTTAATGATTTTCTTTCTTTTTTTTTTTTTTTTTTCCTGGAGACGAGATCTCACTCTGTCACCCAGGCTAGAGTGCAGTGGCGTGATCTCGGCGCGTTGCAACCTCCGCCTTCCAGGTTCAAGCAATTCCCCTGCCTCAGCCTCCCAAGTAGCTGAGATTACAGGTGTGTGCCACCACGTCTGGCTAACTTTTTTTTTTTGTAGTAGAGACAGGGTTTCACCGTGTTGGCCAGACTGGTCTTGAACTCCTAACCTCATGCAATCCGCTAGCCTCAGCCTTTCAACGTGCTGGGATTACAGGCATGAGCCACCACGCCTGTCCAAAGTTAATGATTTTCAAAGCTTAGCCAGTGCCTGGCACACAGTACATGTTCCAAAAATTATTTTCACCACTCAATGATTTAAACTTTAAGTAAATCTGTGTGTGATATTTATGTTCCAGAAAGATGAGCCATATTTATCCTGTAGCATTATATGTATATAGTGCAGTTAGGAAGCACTGACCGAATTAAAATCCCCTATCTTGATGAATGGAAAAGCAAAGTCTGGCTTATCCACACAACGGAATCTACTAATCAATAAAAAGGAACATACTATTAATACACATTACAACAAGGATGAACCTTAAAAACATCATACTGAGGGAAAGAAGCTAGGCTCAACAGAACACATATTATATGATCTCATTTATACAAAATATCCAGAAAAGGAAAATCTACAGAGATGAGAATAGATTCGTGGTTCCTGGTGTTAGGGATGTGGATGAACAATAAATGGGTATGAGAGATCTTATCGGGGTAACGGAACTGTTCCAAAACTGATTTATGGCGAAGGTTGCACAACTTGGTACATTTATTTAAAATAATTGAATGGGTGAATTATATGACATTTAAACTATTGCCTCAATAAAACTGGACAGAACAGGAATTGAACTACTGAGACATGCAACAAGAAGCATGAGCCTCAGCTAGGCTCGGTGGCTCACGCCTATAGCCACAGCACTTTGGGAGGCTGAGGCAATCACTTGAGGTCAGGAGTTCAAGACCAGCCTGGCCAACATGGCAAAGCCCCATCTCTACTAAAAATACAAAAATCAGCCGGGTGTGGTGGCACACACCTGTAATCCCAGCTACTGGGGAGACTGAGGCAGAAGAATCACTTGAACCCGGCAGGCGGAGGTTGCAGTGAGTTAAGATGGCACCACTGCACTGCAGCCCAAATAGCACAGTGAGATCTTGTCTCAAAAAAAAAAAAAAAAAAAAACTGAACACAGAAGCTTCCATATATATGGAACATAAAAAAAAAAAAAGAAAAAAAAAAGAATTCAATCTACTTCTGAGAAAGCAGGTCAGTGGTTTCCTGGGGCTGGGGCTGAGAGGGGATTGACTGGGAAGGAATACAGGGGAACATTTCAGAGAATGAAAATGTTCTATATCCTGATTGTGGCAATGGTTACACAGGTGTACACATTTGTCAAAACACATTAAAATGTGTGCTTTAAATGGGGGCATTTCCTTGTATGTAAATTATACCTCAATAGGTTATTTTTGCAAAACTCATTTATATGTGATAGAAGAGGACTGGAACTAAAAAGTGCCAGATCAAAGGCTGCACAAAGAACGGGTTGTGGACACCGGGGCCTCATCATCTCAGCTCTCACTAGACCCCATAGACCACCCACTTCAAGCCAAGGTCAGTCAGGAAAGCCAGGATTGAGGAACTGGAACCCAGAGGGTCATTAGAGGTCTCTCCCACCTCTAAGATTCAGGAGGTCTCGGGACATACGGATTTCATGATGGATCTGACCTCAAAGCATGAAGCTGGTCTCTACCAACCAACCCCAGTGGACACAGGAAGAGAGGGAAGATCACCTTGGTTACTCCTGTGATGCAAACAGGGTCATGGTGGCCACATGAACGTGTCTGGAACCACATGGTTGGACAGATGCCTCCAACTGTCATCAAGAGAAAAAGAGGCAGGAGTAAGAGAATAAATACATACCCGTGGGTACAGTGGAGAATAGATGCTAAGGTCCCGTTTCAAATCACAGCATTTCCCAAAACTGATCTCCTCGGATGCAGATCAAAAGCAAAACAGGAAACAAGGAGGTATTTTGTTCAGGCCAGTGTCAACCAGTACATCCTAACGTGGGTTTTATGGCATGGATTCCTGTGCTGCCCTGCCATCGGCAAACTGTGTGACCTTGACCAAGTCCTTCAAAGCAGTGAGCCTCGGTCTTCTAATCCACAAATTAAGGATAATAACAGTGCCCACCTCACAGGTTTGTCATGAGGATCAAATGAGAAGATGAATGAGGCTTAGCTTGAATTCTACCATTTTCTTACATCATTATTATTGTCATCACTGACCACACAGTTCATTACCACCACCCATGAAGTATTCATTTTTCCCCCTAAACAGCATGCACTGTTCTTAGTAATGGATGGGCAGCTGCCAGGGAAACATACATTTGTTGCATTTTAGATTCCCTCTGGGTTTTGGGTCTTTTTCCCTGACTCTGGAATAAAATCGCTACTCAGAGATCTGAGACATGCAAGAGATGTTGGCCCAAATTGCCTTGGATGAGCCAGCGCCCAGCGATAACGGAAGCTCCAGGGAATAATGAGAATGTGCCACGTGCCTCGCAGGAGACATGCTGGGGGAAGCAGATGCTTCTGCAGAGGAGGATAAAGCACTGTTTCTTTATGAATTCAATTCAAACACAATGTCCACAAAAGAGGAGATTCGGAATTCAAATCTCCTTCAAACAAGGGAACCCCTGAAGTGGAGAGAGAGGAAAGAAAACCAAGAAGAAGGGAAAGGAAGCTGAACTAACATTTATTAAGAACAGATCCTAACTGGAAATGTCTTTATCTACATGGCAAAACAAGCTGGGTTTTATTATCCCCACTTTACAGATGAGGAAACTGAGGTTTCTAAACAGGCCTGTTGGACCACAAAGGGGCAGAAGGCGTGTTCAAATAGGGGTGGGGACTGGGAACAGTGGCTCACACCATAATCCCAGCAGTTTGGGAAGCAGAGGCAGGAGAATTGCTTGAGGCCAGGAGTTCATGATTAGCCTGGGTAACAGATGGAGGCTCTGCCTCTACAAAAAATTCAAAAATTAGCCGGGCGTGGTTGTGTGTATTGGGCGTGCCTGTGGCTATTTGGGAGGCTGCAGCAGGAGGACCACTTTAACCCAGGAGGTGGAGGCTGCAGTGAACCTTGATTGCTCCACTGCATTCCAGCCTGGATGACAGAGCAGATTCATGTCATCTATATAGATCCATATATATACGGATTGAATGAGAAAAGATCCAAGGAAGGTATATGTAAACTGCAAACTTGATGGCCATCTGCATTACTGTTACGGTGAGAAAACTGGCCAGTGATTGATAAATCATCTCTGTTCAGTTTATTCCGGCTGCTTTCACAGTCTGTAGGCAAAAGAGTTCACTCTTAGGAGAGTGGCATAGTGTAGTAGTTACAAACACAGGTTCCAGAGTCAAACTAGATACAATTTGAAATCCTGTCTCCACAGCTAATTTGCTGTGTGGCCCTGGGTTCATCACTTCACCTCTCTGAGCCTGTTTCTCACCTGCAATGCCTAATTCCCTGCCTTATGGAGTATCCGTGAGGCAGCACCAGCAAGAACCTTGGTAAACGGTAGCAAAGTGGTAGTTAGGGTTAATTACTACTCATCATCTCCTCTACACCTTTGAGTACACCATAGCTCAGCACCCACGTCCCTTCCATGACTCATCTGGTAGCTTCCAGACGGGCCCACCTGGCACCACAAGGCATAAGGGGACACCTGCCTCATCTGATCTGATCAGAGTGGAATGGGATAGGGAGACAGATGTCACTCTCAGCCAGACTTCGCCTCTGCCCCTGAGAATCTCTGGCTATTGTTCCTCCTCAGAGCTCGAGCTGACAGATGAGTCGGGCCTCAGAGACAAGGGAAGGGATCCTCTTGAAACAAAGGACTGGCCTACAAGTTATTCACCAGCCCATTGAATCTGCACAATGGACCCAATGCCCCAGAAACACGACGCTCAAACAGGCTAATAATCACCCAGGAGACGAACCAGCAGCCTCAACAGAAATAAAAGCAAATCACTAAGTATCCATACAAGACTCAGGTGCTACGTAAGTGAACTCAGCTGGCACCCAGGGGGGTGCACGATAGCATTCGCTAGCTTTGTTAAGCACCTACAGGGCACCGAACACGCAGTGGTTCATAGCCTCATGGCCGCTTTTTAAAACCGGGATTGTGATTTCCACTTTACAGATGAGGAAACTGAGGCTCAGAGAAGGGAGATTACTCCCGGACTGAAGTGGACACAGGTGGGAGAAGGATTTGTACACGGACTTGCGTAACTCTCAGCTGCTTCTCTTTCCACCACTCTGCCCTGCCTTGATGAATAAGTAAGTTCAAAGAGTGTAATCCCGCCCTGGGAAGAAGCATGGACCACAGCCAGAGAAAGGACCTTAAAATGAAGACACAGAAGAAAAGAAAAATTGGAAACAACTAGCAGGACCAACAATAGGAAACTGACAAAGTAGACCGTGTTTATCTCCTGCGTGAAATACTGAAATCTCTAATGATTTCGGCAACGGTCATAATAACATGGAGAAACACATCTGATGTAACTTTTCAAAAGCAGTATACACATAATGCAATTACTTTTCTTCTTCTTTTTTTTTTTTTTTTTTTGAGGGTCTCCCTCTGTCACCCAGGCTAGAGTGCGGTGGTGGTGTAATCTCTGCTCACTGCAACCTCCGCATCCTGGGTTCAAGCGATCCTCCTGCCTCAGCCTCCAGAGCAGCTGGGCTATAGGCACATGCCACCATGCCCAGTTAATTTTTGTATTTTTAGTAAGATAGGGTTTCGCCATGTTGACCAGGCTGGTCTCGAACTCCTGACCTCAGGTGATCCACCCACTTCAGCTTCCCAAAGTGCCAGGATTACAGGTGTGAGCCACCGCGCCCAGCCAATTTCAAAAATAGAAAATATACCAGAGAGAGGCCGGGTGCGGTGGCTCAAGCCTGTAATCCCAGCACTTTGGGAGGCCGAGATGGGCAGATCACGAGGTCAGGAGATCGAGACCATCCTGGCTAACCCGGTGAAACTCCGTCTCTACTAAAAAATACAAAAAACTAGCCGGGCGAGGTGGCGGGCGTCTGTAGTCTCAGCTACTCGGGAAGCTGAGGCAGGAGAATGGCGTAAACCCGGGAGGCGGAGCTTGCAGTGAGCTGAGATCCGGCCACTGCACTCCAGCCTGGCCGACAGAGCAAGACTCACTCTCAAAAAAAAAAAAAAAAAATATATATATATATATATATGTATATGTACACACACACACACACACACACACACACACACACACACACACACACCCCAGAGAGAAATATATGAAAATGAAGTTTTCAGGCCAGTCATGGTGGCTCATGCCTGCAATCCCAGCATTTTGGGAGGCTGAGGTGGGCAGATCACTTGAGACCAGGAGTTGGAGACCAGCCTGGCCAACATGCCAAAACCCCGGCTCTACAAAAAATCCAAAAATTAGCTAGACATGGTGGCACATGCCTGTGATTCCAGTCCTACGTGGGAGGCTGAGGCACGAGAATCACTTGAACCCAGGAGGTGGAGGTTATAGTGAGCCAAGATCACACCACTGCACTGCAGCCTGGGCAAAAAGTAAGGCTCTGTTTCAAAAACAAAAGAAAGAAAAGAAAAGAAAGAAAAAGAAAATTGAGTTTTCTTCTTTTTTTATCGTTTATAAATCTTCTACAATTATCATGCATTTTATTAAACTTATTGAATTTGTTTTTTAAAATCGGCAAAAATTATAAAAATTCTCATTTATTTTTATTCATTTATTTTAGAGACCGGGGTCTCACCATGTTGTCCAGGCTTGGCTTGAACTCCTGGGCTCAAGCCATTCTCCTGCCCCAGCCTCCCAAAGTGCTGGAATTGCAGGTGTGAGCCACTGTACCCAGCCCAAAATTCTCATTTTTAATGCAAGCATAGAGAATGATTCTCCTAAAGCTGGCGGTAAGGGGTTATGGTTGTTTTGGGGGACTCTGAAGACTTCATCACTCTCTTCTGTTAAGGAGTGGGGTTAAGGCTTAAAATAAGTAAATTTCAGAACAGTTCTCAATGGCAAGGGTCACTAAATACTAAAATAGGCGGCCATGGGGGACATGGAAGGTGTTTACATAAAATGCTTTCAACATGAAATTAACCAAACTTAGAGTAGGGTCAATTCAATGCCACCCAAAGCTAGGAGCTGTCCAGAAATGGTTTGCCCAGGCTGCTGGATGATTCTGCCTAGAAGGGTGAGGGCCGAGGTGGGAGCACTGTTCCTCAAGCAAGGATCTGCCCACCTGCAGGATGAGGATGAGGAGGTCTGAGTAAACATCAGATACCCAGCCCCACCCCAAAACCTGCTGACTCATCCTCCTTGCCACGTGGCTCAGACATCTGCCTATTGGAAGCAACGCCCCTAAAGTCTGAGAACCACTGTCCTCAGGTTTCCCTGTCTGTCAAGTGGAATTACTCATCCCTGCCCTGCGTCTACCCCCGCCCCCCTCCCTGGGCCATCGCGGCGCTCCCAGATGCTCCCAAAAGGGAATGCGCTTTGCAAAGCACTGAGTCCAGAGCGAGCGTTCTGCTTTGAGCCGTGCTCAGTCCCAGCCTGGCCCTGAGAAAAAAACAAAGCCGTTCCCTCAAGTTCTCTCGCAGTCCTCCCTCTCATACTTCCTCCCCTCCCGCCGCAGCAGGTGGGGGCGTTTTCCCCGCGGCGGCACTGCAGTGGGGTGTGCGCGCCAGCAATCCCAGGCGCCAGGCAGCCTCGGATCCGGAGCCTGGGATGAGGGTGGGAAATCCAGGGTGCGCCCCCGGGGCCTCCCCCTGCACAATCCCAGAAACAATTTCTCTACCCCAGGGCCCTCCGCTGGGCGGAGGGAAGTCTGGCCCCTTTCCTCCCAAATTCCCAGCCTCTCCAGGGAGTGTCCTGGAACCGAGGAAAGGTGGAGAATCGAGCTGGTGGGTTCCGGGATCTCCTTAGACCCTTTAGGAGATGCAACGTGGGCTTTAGAGTCCTGCATATCTGGATTCACAATCACTGGCTGTGTGACCTTGGGCATGTCGATAACCCTCTCTGAATCTCCGTTTCTTCATCTTTAAAATGGGGTTGTTTCTTACCACTTTCGTGGGACTGTTGTGATAACGCTTGCAAAGCACCAAGCAGGTCCCTGCCTAGAGTAACCTCTCCATAAACTGATGTCACTGTTGTTTTCAATGAGGGTGAGTTACCAGCCCTCTCCATCCTTTTGGAGCCAAATTTGACGCCGGACATCTGGGATTTGAGTCCCAGAAGTAAAGGAATGGTAGGCTCTCGGGGGGAGGGCGGCTGGGTATGAGGGAAGGGGACCTCAAGGACCCTGCCCCGCCACCTCACCCCCACCTCCAGTTCCGAGACCCTCTGGGCTCTGCCCGTGGCTTGGCCAGTTAATTGCTAACCTGGTGGGCTGAGAAGGTTCGCGGGTCCACCTCCCAAATCCTGTCTCGTGTCGTCGGAAGGGAAGGGTCTTTGTTCCCCCTCATAATCATGATTGCAAGACCCCCATTCGCACTGGACTCCCAAAGCATCCTCCCCTTGCCTGACCTCACCCCCGATCCCAGCCAGAGCCTTGACTGTGTTTGACAATTACAGGCTGCAAAGCCTCTTCATCCATCCAATGCGGGACACTTCAGGCGGCGTTTGCATCCCTGAACCCAGCCCTGGGACTCTGGGACCTGCCCTCGACCCCAGCCTCGGGGAATTAGGCTGTTCCGCATTCGGGGACAAGGACGCTTGGGAAGGAAGGCTGCTAGGATGGGGCGACGTCTTACCTCGGGTCCGCGGTCCTGCGGCGCGAGTGCAGAGGGCTCTTTGTGCCCCGGCTCACAGCGCAGAACTGGGGGAGCCCCTGCAAGCGCCTCCCATCTCAAACTCCTCCCCGCACTCGTCCGCAGCCTCCCTCCCTCTGGTCCCCCGAGCGCAGCCGGCGTCGTCTTTGTAGCTGCTGCAGCGCCCATGAAATTTTAATGCGGGAGCGGCTGGCGGGCGGAGGCGCCCCACCCCCGGCCCTCGCCTCCACCCTCCCGCTTCCTTGCGCCCCTACAACCCCACACCCAACCCCTCCTTACCCAGCCCAGAGTCCTGGCCAGGAAAGCGGTGTGCAGCGGGTCTTGGAGGGAGCACACCGCCGCCCCCGCCGCACAAAGGGGCTAGCAGGCCGGCGCTCTCAGCCTCCCGCATCCCCACCCGCGGCGCTGTCATGGCAACGCTTGCCCGGCCACTTTCGGCCGCAGAGAGCTCAGGGCTGGAGAGGCGCGGGGGCGGCGCGCGACCGCGGACCAGGGGCGCAGAAGCCTGAACCCCAGAGTAAGAGGACAGAAGACGCTTGTCCTGGAATAGTGCCAAGGGCTTAACTAGCAGACCTCGGGTGTATGCCTCTTTATGCACATGGTTATGGTGAAGCCCAGATTTGAACCCGTAACTGTAAATTCAGGCGTGTACAGCATTTGGCCTAACAACATGTATAGGTTTAGTCTTTTTTTTTATTATTATTTATTCTTATTATTTTAGAGATGGGACTTCACTCTGTCACCCTGGCTGAAGTGCAGGGGCACAATCATAGCTCACCACATCCTCCAACTCCTGGGTTCAGGAAATCCTCCTGCCTCCCCCTCAGCTTTTGGAGTAGCTGGGACTACAGGCGCGAGCCCCCGCGCCCGGCTTAGTCTTTTATTTAACTGCCCTCTTCTTAGTACCTACTATTTTCTAGAGTAGGGATGCTAGGAAGTGGTCCTGAAGTAGTGGTTCTAGAGCCGAAGCATGTACGTTGCTTGAGAACGTGTTAGAAATCCAATTCAGGGCCGGGCTCGGTGGTTTACCCCTGTAATCCCAGCACTTTGGGAGGCAGAGGCGGGCAGATCACCTGAGGTCAGGAGTTCAAGACCAGCCTGACCAACATGGTGAAACCCCGTCTCTACTAAAAAATTAGCCGGGCGCGGTGGTGAGTGCCTGTAATCCCAGCTACTCCTGACGCTGAGGCACAAGAACCGCTTGAACCCGGGAGGCGGAGGTTGCAGTGAGCCAAGGTCATGCCACTGCACTCTAGCGCGGGTGACAACAGCCAGACTCCCTCTCAAGAAAAGAAAAGAAAAGACAAGACGCCGGGCGTGGTGGCTGGCTCACATCTGTAATCCCAGCACATCGGGAGGCCAAGGCAGACAGATCACCTGAGGTTAGGAGTTCGAGACCAGCCTGACCAACATGGAGAGTCCCCGTCTCTATTAAAACTACAAAATTAGCCAGGCATGGTGGCACACGCCTGTAATCCCAGCTACTCAGGAGGCTGAGGCAAGAGAATGGCTTGAACCCAGGAGGCGGAGGTTGCAGTGAGCCGAGATCATGCCATTGCACTCCAGCCTGGGCAACAAGAGTGAAACTCCATCTCAAAAAAAAAAAAAAGAAAGAAAAAGAAAAGAAAAGAAATGCGATTCAGGCTGAGTGTGGTGGCTTGCTCCTGCCTGTAACCCCAGCACTTTAGGAAACCTAGGGGACAGTCTTGCTTGAGCCCAGGAGTTCGAGACCAGCCTGGGCAATAAAGTGAGACCTTATCGCCACAAAAAAAAAAAAACAAAAACAGAAAGATTAGCCAGGCCTGGTGGTGTGTGCCTGTAGTCCCAGCTGCAGTGAGCCCTGGGGGAAGAAAGGAAGGCCCAGATATGTATGTTTCAGCAAGTGCACCAAGGAATTCTGATGCACACTCAAGCTGGCGAACCACTGTGCTAGAACATTCCAGTGACCTTCAGAACGAGACTGTTCTGGGTTTACATTTCAGTTCTGCCCATGCCCCTGACAACATGTGACCTTAGGCAAGCTCCATACCCTTCCTCAGTTACTTGTCCATAAACTAGAGATAATAATGGAATCCACATCATCAGGCTAAATGAAGGAAGTGTGCTTAGCACAGTTCCTGGCACCTAGTAACAGCTCAAGACATAGTTATATCATTAAACTACAACATCTCTTTTGTCACATTTCTGTGAATATTGTTTATCATCTTCATTGCTCACATAAAGAGGCTTAGAGAGGCAGTGAGAGCTGCCTACAGACACTGTAAGGAACCTGGGTAGATTTAAGCCTGTCCTTTTAGACTCCAACTTCCCCAGCTTTCTCTAGACTACACATCTGTTACTGGGACCAGCCCTGGTCTTCAGAAAATACAAACCCCATTCAACAAACTTATAAAACAGGCCCAGCCCAGGACCACTGCAGGAAGCTCAAGAGTCCCAAGGAGGCTTTAGACACAGCCTCCTACCCTGGCAGAGTTAGCAGTCCTGCCAGGATGGTAAGACCCATGTGAAAGAGTTAGAGAAAAGGCAAGGCAGTGTGTGGTCACAGCATTGCCCAGAGTACGCAGCCCACTATCAGGGTGGGACCAATGTAATCACAAAAGTCCTTTTTTAAAAATGTTTTGGCCGGGCGCAGTGCCTCACACCTGTAATCCCAGCACTTTGGGAAGCCAAGGCAGGCGGATCACGAGGTCAGGAGATTGAGACCATTCTGGCTAACACGGTGAAACCCCGTCTCTACTAAAAAATACAAAAAAATTAGCCGGGCGTGGTGGCGGGTGCCTGTAGTCCCAGCTACTTGGGAGGCTGAGGCAGGAGAATGGTGTGAACCCGGGAGACAGAGCTTGCAGTGAGCCAAGATTGCGCCACTGCCCTCCAGCCTGGGCAGCAGAGTGAGACTCTGTCTCAAAAAAATAAAATAAAAAATATAAAAAATAAATTAAAATAATAAATAAATAAATAAATATTTTAAAAAGTGTTTTGAGACAAGGTCTTGCTCTGTTGCCCAGGCTGGAGTGCAGTGACAAGGATCATAGCTCACTGCAGCCTTGAACTCTTGGGCTCAAGAGATCCTCCTGCCTGAGTTGCCATCGCCCAGGTCTACGACTTCCCCCAATTCAATAGTCTAGTCTAGTCTCCCTAGACACAAACAAAAAGGGAAATACAATTTGGCATGACACATTCTAACTGAGTACAGGGGATACGTAGAGGTCACCACTTCCTTTCTTAAGCATTCCCAAGCCACCTGTTTTATAATCCATTCCCGAATTCTCCTGAGTGTCAGTCTATCATTTCCAATATCTACTTGGAAAAAAATCAAACCACCTGTTCATCCCAAACTTTCACACTTCATCCTATTCCCTGGGGCTTCTGAAGGATGAGCAATAGTGAATTTATGATTCTCTTTCCAAGCATCTTTGGTTCTAGAGATATTGTAATCAAACCTAGGTTTGGCTGCTCGCTGCTTGAAAGCCAGACGCCAGAGATAAGGGTTGATGGGAAGAAAATTAGGTTTACTTAAAGAGCTAGCAAAACCAAGAAGATAATGGACTATTTATTGTTCTAAAGTACCATACTGTCATATTAAGTCAGTACAGATTTTATGCTGTTTTTATGTTAAAGTCAAGTAGAAGAGGTTGAGCGTGGTGGCTTACGCCTGTAATCCCAGCACTTTGGGAGGCCGAGGTGGGCGGATCACCTGAGGTCAAGAGTTTGAGACCAGCCTGGCCAACATGGTGAAACCCTGTCTCCACTAAAAATATAACAATTAGCTGGGCATGGTGGTGTGTGCCTGTAATCTCAGCTACTCAGGAGGCTGAGGCAGGAGGATCACTTGAACCTGGGAGGCAGAGGTTGCAGTGACCTGAGATCACACCACTACACTCCAGCCTGGGCAACAGAGCAAAGGGGAAGAGAAGGGGGGTTGAATTGGGATCAACAGATGACCAATTACCACTGGCATCTGGGCACCAGCGAGGTCCAAGAAGGTCTTCTTTGTCCTTGGTCAGGTCACAATGCTTTTATAAATCTTTAACAAAACATTGATTATTTACATACTTCTCCTTTAATCCCAGAGTTAGTTTTTAAAAACTACATGATTGCTTTTTTCTGCATATTATCTCAGTGCTCTAAAATTATCTTAGCCTACGTGCAGGAATGGGAAAAGGCCTCTTAAACAAAAATTGAGTTAGTTATGTTAGTACTTTTGCTGTTTCGCTGTTGCAAAGTCTTCTCAAGGCAAGCAGTGGGGAGGTGACGGAGGGGAGCAAAAGGGGTGACAGTTAGAGGATACTGTGGCTCACTGCAAATAGACCGTCTAACTCAGGCGGACTCAGGACAAGCCATGAACTGAGTACTGCAAGGAGGGAGTGGACCCTCATGTTCAGCAGATGCCATTACCAGTGTGGGCCTCCTCTGCTCCCAGTTCTCTAACATGGTACATTTCTGTATCGGGGCAGACCAGACTAGCTCTCCTGGGGGATTCAGCTGGTCCTTTGCCCTCCTTTTGCCCATATGTTGAGTGCCTTTGTGGTGAGCAAAGTCTTCCCTTGCATCCTCCATTTCCCTAGGGAGGGTTGGACATCCTTTGGGGTTCATGCCTGGTTTGAGAAGTAGAGCTGGCATCCTTCTCTCCTCCCCATCAATGTAACTGTGACCCTCACCTCATCCTACGGGTAGACTTAGGACATACCCTGGGAAGAGCCTCGAGATGGTAAACATCATCCTCACCACAACTGGCCAAGAGTTCTCACCTTCCAGGAAACATGTATAGGGCCAATTTGGACCCTAGGAGCCCATGAGCAGATAAGAGTACCCCAAAGAGACACGTCAGTATTCCTGCTCTGCATGATACTGCTCTGAAACCCCAGATTTCCAGGAGAATTCTGACACTGGCAACATATAAAGGAGAGGGGAGCCTGAGCCTCTCTTCTCTTTAGTCCTAGAACAGCCCTTGGAGAAACAAGAGTGGCTCCAGAGGCCAGGGTTCCCGTTGCAATTCTGTTATCAGCCCACTGGGTTCCTCTTTAAAAAGAGAGAGAGCGGGCCAGGTGCAGTGAGTGGTTCATGCTTGTAATCCCAGCACTTTGAAAGGCAGATCACGAGGTCAGGAGTTTGAGATCAGCCTGACCAACATGGTGAAACCCCTGTCTCTACTAAAAATACAAAAATTAGCCAGGCGTGGTGGTGGGCGCCTGTAATCCCAGCTACTCAGGAGGCTGAGGCAGGAGAATTGCTTGAACCCGGGAGTTGGAGGTTGCAGTGAGC